CCACAGATCAAGAAAAGACATAGATAAATAATTCAGGGTATTTGTTTGAATCTCAAATGATTCATGTTTATATTTACTATTCCCCGTGTTGTGATTGGTTCATTTAAGTTTCGCGCCACTTTTACGCTCAAATTTTGACATTTTCCAGAAAATTCGAGTTCGCCATTGTTGTGTTTCGTAGTGTAATCTAATGTTTTTGCGTTTTTAATGATTTCGTGCTTGTTAGTAAGATTTTTTCCAGTGAAAAAAGTGTTGAACAATGCCGAAGAAGTGCTATATTTGCAATATGTACCAAATGAAAGAAAATCAACGATCGTTCCATAAGTAACAATAATCATAGACGTAGCAATAAAACAAGCTGTTGGGGTTAAATTTAAATATTTCACTTTGACAAAATTTAAGTGCCAAAAAGCATTAGTAAATCAGATAAACAAAGGCTTAAAAAATTTAATCGATTTTTTTATGTTACAGATTTCCCGAAAAATCTTCTAATTAGAAGACACTGGTTTAGAAGCTTAGGAATTCCATATACAGAAACAATATACCTATGTATGCTCTGATCACTTTTGTAATAAAATGCAAGATAATATTCTTAGGACAAGGCATAAGTTAACAAAAAATATTTTATTTCGTAATCAATAAATTTCTATTTGAGTAATATGGTTGTCCTTTTTCATTCATAACATTCATTCGATAGGGACAACCTAAAAAATAAACCAATTAACAGCTTTATTAGGGACAAACTTCGACTCCAGTAATATAGCCGTAACACGCAATGTAAAAATCTACACGTAATTCTATATAAAATATATATTTAAACTGTTCTAATTTTTATTTTCTATATAAATTCACACATATGTGTTTGTAATAGGAAGGGTTAATGGACCGACTCTATGAAATGAATTATAATTTTAAAATATGGTCAATATTTTTGTTTTCTATATACAAATTTTATAAATTGTATGTAAGAGTTGATGCCAAATTTTACACCGTGTCATACAGCTATTAAAATTAAAACTAGGGTGTATACCTACCCAAATGGAATTTAATTACTTTGTTTTGTTAAAATCTCGTGAAAATGATATTTATTAACAGCTTAAGAGTATGATGAAATGAATCTTCCTTTTGTATACATATAAATGAGAATAAAATTGTGTCAGTAGATCATCTCCACCGTATTCCAGGAAGAAGTAAATGTAGGGGACTATGAAGTTCATAAGTAATAAGAAAAGTTAAATAATCTCATAGATACCTTAAGAAATAAAACGGGCTTTCTTACCGTACCTATTAATGGCACCATATTTTTCCGTATTACTAGTTATCTGCGGAAAATAAAATTTACAATTACAACTATTAAACATGTTATTTTAGTTGCAATCAGCCCCTATAAAATGATACGCTACTGCCTATGAGGGAATGTAAACACAACTTCCTCACCCCTCCCATGAACTATTTTGGCTTCAAGCCACATAGGTATAAATTATGTATCTATGTCTTTTCTTGATCTGTGGATGGAGCCAAAACCACCCATTGTAACTAAATTGTAAAACCAAAGCCATCTATGCATTATAACTGTTCCAACATGAACCGCAAAAGCGGCAGGCATTTGCCTCAAGTCATGTGACAAGATACAAATCGCGCGACATTGATTAAAAAAGAAACTAGTTTTGATTATCTTTTGGTAGTAACACAACAATTAAAAAAATACTATCAAATATATATGTATAATACGCAATAACACTTAATACCACGTTAATGGATATAACAAATCGCGCGTGATAAGGCTACACATGCCCTAAGTCACGCTGAGGATGGCGATACATTCCCGAGCGGACACACACACACACACACGCACAAACATGCACACACACACAAATACACACATACAAAGTACAAACACACACACACAAACAAATATGACAGACTTTGGTCAAGACTTACTATCACAAAAACAAGAAAACGAGACGCTAAAACAACAAATACACGAACTCACATAACAAAACACCCGACAATACTAACAAATACTAACCATGACACAGCAAATCGTCGATTTGCAAAAAACAATTAAACTTTCGGACAAAAACACCACTAAATTACACCAAAAATTCGACAAACTCATCAACAAACAAATGACAGACAATACACTCCAGACAGGCACACACACACACACACACACACACACACACACAC